AGAAAGCACAAATTCATCCACAAATATGTGCCTGTCTGTGAACTGGCTCCTTTACCCTGTTTATTCCTTTTGTCATGTTAGTTTGAAAGTGAGGTGTGTTCAGCCAAGCTGGAGTCTCAGGGCACCAGGCTTTGCTCTTTCCATGGCAAATTGGTGATAATTGCATTATATTTTATCTCTTTTTTTTATCATGGAGGTGAGACTAGCTTCTGGCACATTTCATTCTGTAGAAAAGGGATAGAACATGAGATGTGATCATGACTAGAGGGAAGACATTATTTATACAACACTTAAAACTTTTTGGATCAACTTCTGTGCAACTAATGGCTGTAGGACATTTCCAGATGCTGCTTTCTGATGCCTCCTCTCAGGCCAATAATTTTTCTCCCAGTAAGGACAATCAGTGTGAGCAGATAATTTAACGAATGCCTGGGTTCATCGTTACCCTGAACTGGTTTTATAATTTTTTATACTATGTTCAGAGATTATCTGAGTTTAAGTTTCATTTGTCACCTGAGCACTTCCATGCAATGATATTTTAACTTCAGAAGTGGACTTGGCCCAAAGGAGAGTCTGGAACACCAACAGGCCATAAGAGAGGAAGCACCATATTGTAGTACAGTGTTAGAGTGGTTTGCAGAGTTGCAAAGGGGAAGGGTGTCCTTGAAGGATGAGCCTTACTGTGGCCAACCTCCAACTGCAGTGACAGGTGAAAATGTGGTCATTGCATGGAAGATGGTTGAAGAGGACAATTAATTACATATGGGGACATTCAGACACAGCTTGGGGTTGGGTCAGCAGCAGTGTTTGAGATCTTGCACAGACATTGGTCAAAGGAGGATCACCAGCTGATGGTCCCTCATAATCTCACAACTCAAAAGGAGGCCAGGATGGAATGGAGTAAATTCATACTCCAGAAGTGCAACTCTGGGTCTTCAAAAGTCATCTATGACATTGTCACAGATGAAATCTGGATATATCAATTGACCCAGAGAGAAAGTGCTAGTCCACTGTATGATTCTTTCCTTGCAACCTGACCCCAACCAAGGCCAAGTGATCCTGAAGTGTGAGAAGGCTAATGTTGGCTAGTTTCTTCTCTTCCACTGGTCATAAAGCCATCATACCTCTTCAGGGTCAGAAGACTGACCTTGAAATGGTACACAGAATCCTGTCTTCCAAAAGTGTTTGAATCTCGAAAGAATAAGAGGCCCAAGTCATTATTGAAATCATGGATGCTCCAAGATGACAATGCTGTGTCACACAGCTGTCCTCACATTAGATTTCCTACACAAGTCTGGTGTGAGGATGCTCCCACACCCACTCTATGGCCAGACCTGGCCCTGTGTGACTTCTTTCTCCTTCCAAGAATTAAAGAATCACTCTGTGGAAGGGGTTTCTGTCTCCAGAAGAAACAATTGCTGAGTTTATTTCAATGATCTGAGGTACATTGTTTCCGGATTGAATTCATACCACCCCCTATAGTGGGGAACGGAGAAAACACAAATTTCCAGACGTTCTGCTTCATCAGGTGATAGACGTAACCACCTGTTTGTAAGATGTCACTACCTGCAATCAATGGAAGTGCTCTTATAGGGGGTACAAATTCAATCCGGAAACAGTATATCCCAACATTTGAGTGGAAACAGCCTTGAGAAATGATTCACAAGGATGAGAAAGTACATTGTTGCTAGGGGAGACTACTTCAAAAAGATGTAATGTTTGAATAAAGTCAATCTGTTTTCTATTGTCTGTATCTGGAAGCTTTCAGAGTGACCATCATAATTTTCCTCTGAATCCTTACTCATGTATTTCCTATGCTTCCTTCACTTGCCTGATGCATTCAATGGAAATTACAAGAAGAAAGTGTAACCAAACTGTCTGCTTCCAACTTCCAAGGTTGCTGTGTGTCACCTTCTCCCTCCATCCTTTCTTTTTTGAGGTAGAATTTGTGCAAGATGTCTGAAGGGAATCTAAGAAAAAATGCCTTTGGAGAATGGAAGGTCCTCTGATGTCAAGGAATGTACATTCTGATCCTTCCCACTTCTTGCAGGAGCACTTCAATGGAAGATGTTTCAAAAGTAACTGTGCAGTAGAGACATCTAAGGCAGTAAGAGTAGTCATTTTAAAAAATGTATTCGTTGTTAGTGATCAAATGCAACAAAAACACATCAGAAGTAACAGAATTCTTCTATACAAGAAGGACCATAAAAAAATAGTTTTTTCAACTTCTCCCTTCTTGCCTCTGGCTTTGGGAAATCCAGGAAATAATTACATCTAGTAGAAAATGCCATTGCAAGTGCTTTCCCATGCTCCTTTCATGTCTCCTCTGTGGAAGGAATATGAAATGATAAGTTACGAAGTTCTTCTGGCAAAGTAGAACTATCTATTACTACTGCTATTGTCTACTGCTACTATCTTGGCCAGCTGGAGTTTAGGGTTGGTAGATATTTTCAGCTGTTCAGGCAACATTGCATGCAAGAAAAAAAAAAATTCTGCTACCTGGATTCATATCAAGAACTGTCAAATCAGAATATTAGTGTTGTATACACTCAGCCACACTTTTGTGCAAGGAGAGCTAGGTGATAAAATTAATTTATTCTCCTCTATTTCTCTCTGGGTGGATAGGGGGATGAGGAAAATTTCTGGCCTGGGCGAGTCGCCCCATCCAATAAGGTAAAATTTCAGATGCATATGAATGTCTCATGATTAATGAATGTTCCAAAGGTCATATCTGCTGCCTCCTTTTGCTTCCTGTAGCCTGCCATGACCAGTCTTCTAGTCTCATTATGTTTCTTCTTATATGACTTCTCATTCTTCTTGCATCGCATCCCTTGAGTGCCTTCATGCAGGCTTTTTGCTTTCCCTTTAATGCTTGCGTTCTCCTTCTTGCTCTTCTTTTTATGCCATTTTCTCTGCTTCTGAGTGTTCATTTTCACCATGATCATTAATGCATCAGTAACACATGATCAATAGCACCTAAACAATTGTCTGCAGAAAAAGCATCATTGGTCAGCCTTTGAAACTCTTGCTCTTCAGGCATTCCACCAGTGAAGGTGGATATTTCATTGCAACAATATCTTGATATCTTGTTAGATATTAACTATGTACAGGTTGGTCATAAAGTCTCAATCTATTTTACTGAAAAACTCAAAATTCCTATTTAAAAAATGCATCATGTGCACTTCATATTGTCAGTTATTAACATTTTTTTTTTATACCGAAGTTCCACATTACCACCTTCCAAATCTAACTGCAATCAATCTGTTGTTTCCCTGAACACATTGTTCAACACATCAGGGGTTATGGTATTAACAGCAGCATAGATACTATCTCTTAAATCTTCAACGTTGTGAACCTATGTGCTGCAAACCTTTGACTTAATGTACCCCCATGACTATGTTCAGTAGCTCCTCTGACATTTTCAATTGTTCCCTCAGGAATGGATGGATGACTGGAATGCTTTTCATCTGCTACACTTTCATTCCTCTTAAATATATTCAAAAAGATATGGATATTTTCATCATAGGTCCAGGAATATAGAATTTCCTTAAGAAAGTTTCCCACATCTCACCCTCAGACTTTCTTCGTAAACGTAATCTCACAACCTCAATCCTCTCCTGAAGAGTTAGCATCCTATGAAAATTTTTGTATGATTACATCCGAAACAAACGAATTATTGGTGATCAGTGTTTTTGTAAGAATTCTGAGTTTTTCAACAAAATAGATTGGGACTTAGTGTCCACCCTGTACAGTGTAACAATATCAATGAAGAAAGAGTTAAATTCCAAGAAAAGTAAGTAATGTATAATGACTCCCACGTGAAAATTTCATATAAGACCATATATGAAATGGTCATATATTTAGCCAGTCTAACATATATGGGGCATATATGAACATATATGAAACATATATGGGGTTTGACACAAATCACATAAAATCATATAAGAATGAAAATATATGGCTCCATATATTTTCATATATTGGCTCATACAATTACACCATATATGCTATGTTACACCTTGTCCATATATGAAGTTAAACAAATATGATGAGAATGCCTAACAAATACCCACATCCTATAAGAGTACATAATCCATATATTTGTTTTCCTTTCTCATGCCAACTTCCTTGAAATTTCAGTCAGTTTCTGATGAAATGGAACCAGTGGAGGGGGGAGGGAGGGGAATAGAGAGACACAGCTGAATACATGGATGAAAAAAGGAAACGGAAAAGTTCATGTTCCTAGAGTTCCCATGCCCCCCCCCCCACTTTTTTCATCTTTGATACACTTTTGCGATCTAGGGAGGGTAGGGTTTGAAATAAATATTTTGGGAAGTTACTTTAAATAAACTATGCATAGCAAATTTTTCATGTACAATGTAATGGGTAAATAAAATATTACTTACAGAGGCATCAGAAGGTCATGGCCTTCATGTAAAAAACCTCATGCAGTGGCAGCAGAAAGTGCAGATACTACCCCCTTCCCCCTGGCATCCCCTGGGATGGAGCTTTGTATCCCCTTGGAGGTATGATTTTTCTCCCCCAATATCACTTGAATGGGGTTTGAGGATTCCTCCCCCTCAGCTTCTCTACCCCCTCTGGCCCACTGACCTCTTGCTGCATTCACTAACAACCATAAGACTTGCCTGTGGATATTCACCACATGTCAGACATGATGCCATTAACCCATGACTTTTGATGCCATAATACAGGTAATATATATTATATACCATACAATTGATAATATATGAATACATGTATGGTTGTATATTGCAAATATATGATCATACATGGCCATATGGAATCATACACCCTGTCATATAGAATTTTCACGTGGGCTGGCATACAAAGGATTATTCAGTATTTTATGGATTATGTACCCCTTTAGGATACAGGTATGTTTCAAGTATTTTCACCATACATAGATATGTTTAACTACATATATGAAAATAATATGACATGGCATATATGGTGCAATTGTATGAGCTAATAGGTGAAAATGTATGGGGCTATATATTTTCATTCTTATGTGATTTCATGTGACTTGTGTCTAACCCCATATATGTTTCATATGTTTATATCTGAATTGTACTACATGTTCATATAATGGTCTTCTATGAAATTTTCATGTGGGCACAAAGTGGAGGAAGGAGAAGCTTGGAGATTAAATCAGGTGCCTACTGGACATAATTGGTCTATTCTTGTCACAGCCAGCAGTGTAGCCAGGAATTCATCAAAGGTGGGCTAAAATTCCCCTAATTTCATGGTAAAGGGGGAGTGGTGCTTGCATTTAGACCAGAGTTGGGGGTCGCTGTAGCAGTGCTGTAGCACAATGACTGCTGGGAAAATGTTCATTGGTAGCTCATATTTAGAAAAAAAAATTTTCCTGGAAGATCTTATTTTCTCCATTAAAAAATGGGCTGAATATGCAAGAATATGATCATCCTGAGAAAAACATGAAAATAGGTATTTTTATGCATTTTTAAAATGACTGAAATTGCTTCTACCAACAAGGTGTCATCCTATCTGGTTTGCACACTCCTACAAAGCTATGTAAAAAAATATGCCTTTGCAAAAAATTCTGCTCCCTATTGATAAACCTGTCGATATTCCTTTTGTCTTTTGTCAAATGTCATTGACTTTTAATTGATGCCCCTATCCCTCCCTCTCTGTCTTGATATACACTAGTCATTGAAGATTGTCTCCTTCCCCCTAGAATCAGACAAGTGTGCTGGAAAGATGCCATAGGCTTCTTTTATTTTTTTGTTAAGAGGGGGAGAGAAAGTGTGGAAATGTCATACCCAACGAGAACTAGAGTGTTGAATGGTGGGGGATTGCTATCAAGTGGAAATGGATGCAGTCGAACCCAGGCAGGGATGAGGATGATCCATGAAAGGGAGATCCAGGCCCAGAGGGAAGCCTGGTGGAAGGGGGTGAATGATTACTTTCAGAAGAATCAATGTGCTGCTGCACACTATGAAGCCTTGTCCTCTCCTCGTCCACTTCCTCCTCCCCTGTGAGTTTCCTCTTCCGCTTCATTTGAAGCTGGTGAGTGGTACAGAGAGGTTATAAAACTCTTGCAATTGCTTCCGAGAAGAATAACTCCATAACAGTGCATCCAATTTACATTAAATTCATGGTATACACATGGAGTCCTGAGGGTGTTGATGCATTACCAAAAATTGGTGACACTACATGCAGCTATAACTGTTCAATATGTGCCCCGTGCTGATTGAGAAGGGAATCAAGGTGCATTATGTTGTTGCTAACAGCAGAAATTAGCATGTCCTTGGGAATGGCAGCCATAGCGTATTGAATGGTATCATTGAGCGTGGTCAGAGATGCCATAGCTTTGACCTCTAGAGATGTGCTTGGTCAACCTGACAGAGACACTCAAGAACACATCCAGTCACTTCAAATTTCTGAACAAAATGGTGAACAGTTAACACACTGCAGGGACCCTGGTGTAGGTTTCATTGCCTGAGGAAGTCTCACAGCACTGCAGCAGCCTTGTTACCTGCTTGGTAGAAAAGCCTCATGAGAAGCTCTTCATTCTGAAGAGTCATGACTTCATGTATGCCAACCAATATGCTGTTGCCCTCCTCATGTAGCATGCACTAGTGAATTAAGCACCACATGATGGAAATATTTTTTACTGCTGCCATTCAAATCCCCATGATCTTAAATGTATACCTTGTGAATTTCATGCAAATAGGATGTACTGGTATGGAGTTATTCTTCCTGGAAGTGATTGCAAGTCTTTATAACCACCCTGTATATAGCAGAAAGTTTTTGTTCAAGAGGGTGTTGATGAATTATCCTCTTCAGACCCGATTGGCAAGTTACATGCCAATTTTGAAATCCTTTATCCCATTGCCTACGCTCCACCTCCGATGGGCAAAGCTAAGAAGACAATGTTTTTATCCTTCTTGGTATTGGAGGAGTAGAGTGACATGTGTACATTCCACCAGGTTTTCCTAAATAGAGGCTTGCATTTGAAAACCTGCATTTTTTTTTACAGTAAAATAAGCTTATGGAAGCCAGTAATCAAAGATCATATATGAAAATGTTTTTAGGCCATGTCATTGTCATTGCACCAACAATAGTAGCAAATAGGCTGGACAGTATTTCGAAAATACCGAAGCATCACTATACCCCACACTCCACACCCCACTCGCTAGGGAGTGGTCAGTAATTCCCTGGGTCCTCTGTACTGTGATTCTCAATTTTTCAAGTACTTGATATGTGGATAGCACCACAAGAAATGATTTCCTTGGGTGGTAATGAAGTGGGAGGCACTGCCTGTGAATATGTACCTCATACAATCATGAGTGGTACCTCCCCTCCCCTGGATCCACCACTGTTCATGCCTTCATCTTTCTGGTCTTCCTCTTTGTTTTCATCAGCCTGGTGCTGGAAGGGCTCAAACACATCTCAGGTAGATCAATGCCATTGTATCCTAACTGATCCAGGAGTTCCATGTAATTGAGCCCTGAAATGCAACTTTTCTGGTGCAAGGCCTCATAGCATGTGTACATGCTGTCTATATTTAGACTCATCCCATTAAGGCAGTGGAGTGGAGGATACACTCAAACATTGTCCTTCCTGGTCATCAAGACCACATAGAACTCCACTTCCATTTAAATTCATTCTTTGGGCTGGTCATCAAATAAAGTGGTGGCATATGAGAGCAACAATTTTGCTAGCTAAGTTGCTTAATGAGGCAGCAAGATTCCCACTGTAAGTCTTGAAGCCTATTGGAATGTAATTCCCCAAATACTAAATCCATTCTGTATGGTAAATCAAAAACAAAGATTCATCATCTCCAGAACTCTCACATTTGATAGGAATTCAATTTGATTTGAATTCAGTTCAACAGCTGGTAATGCATTATTTATTTTACAATGTCCAGAAATGAGCCCAGAAAATGGGCTTCCCAACCTTTCCTGTCATTTGTGCACTTTTTGGCATTCATCACTTAAGTCTCCTGAACCTTAACCTCTTAAGGGAGGCAATATACCAATATACCAATATATTTTAGCACCAAAAAAAAATCATTTTGAGTTTTTTACTTTGCTTCCTTTATATGTAAAATATCAAATCCAAAGGCCATTTTCCTATAATCAGTTTTATATTGGGTAAAAATGAAAGAGAACTTATTGCAAACACTGTCTATTGATAAATCTGATTTTCTCAGTTTCAAGCTTTTTGTGGTGTCCACATGTGCCCCCTATGCTTTTCTTCATAATGCTTCATACAATTGACTTCACTTTTTGCTCACTAGTTATGAGCTATAGAGTATAGAGTATATTGCTAGTAGAGTTATATGAGCTGCAATCCTGTCTAATGAAATGTCAATGGGAGGTTTAGTTCCAGAGATATGGCCAAAAACTTTTTTACCAGCAAAGTGAAGGCTATAAAAGTATGAAACGGTTGCCATGGCAACATAAGTGAATCTATTCACAAGTTAGCAACACAGGTTTGTGCATCATCCCAACAGTAATGTATCCTGCCTGGAGATTTCAAAAAGATAGCATCAATAGGGAGAGAAAAACTGGGTGGGGGATTTTCCTATGTGGGCATAACCAATTTTGCACATTTTGACCTTTGACCCTTCCCTATTAGGTCATTGTGTGATAATTTTCAAAACCCATTTTTTAATTTAGTCAGTACTCATCACGAGCTTTCCAATGGTATATATGTGCAGATTAGTGTGGAAATGTGTGATACTTTCGATTCGAGAAATTGGGTTGTCATTTTGATGTATATTGCCTTCTTAAGTGGGTAATTTCTAGGAAAGAAGTCCACCTCATAGTAAGGACTTTTTCACAAGAGTTATAATTAGTATTTGTGTGTTGAAATTTACTTTTATTTTTTTGGGTAAGTTTATATTTCTAATCCTCAAATTTCATGTTTCAAGTTTGTATTTAATTCAAACTAAAAACAAGTGCGCCAGTTACAGGGTGACAATGAAGGGTGATGACTTCTATCCTCTTTGGCACTGTCAGCATAGTATCTTATTCAGTTATCTGTCCACTTTTCCACTATTACAGAACTGCTCTGTGAAGTAAACATGAAATTTAAATTAAATTCATCATTTTTCATCAAAATTAATTGTGACTTTATAAACAAGGGTCATGAATATTTTTAGACAATGCTCTATTTTATCAAAGGATGAACTAAGTGTTCATAGACAAATTTTTTATTCATATGTGCAATAGCTGTCTGAGAAAAGATTTTAAAAATGAAAGCAGATGCAGTTGATTTATTTGACATTTTGAAGTAAAATTGTTCTCTCTGAGCAAGTCTTGCTCATTGGTTTGGCTTGCTGAATACTTATTAATTTTTCAGCAATTGCAATCCAAAGTTATAACCCTCTATCAACCAAACCCACACCCAATTGCAGCAAACTGGAACTGAACCAAGCCCTAGCTGTTATGAACTGGAATCAAACCCAAACTCAATCTCTCATGAATTTTCTAACTAGAACTGAACGCAAACTCATTTTCAAGTCAACTTGAACTAACCACTAACCCAAATTAAACCTAAACTCACCAAAAATGGGTTTATCCCTCCTCATATCATCAACACGAATAGTCCTTGTATGTACAAGGAGGTTCAAAAAGTTCTGTCATTAGACCACTTCAGAACAAATTTCTAGAAATCTATTATGCTACAGATAAAATATGTTCCAAGAGAGAATGATTATATAAAATTGGCACAGCCACGTCTTTTGAGCAATTATCTATATTAAATTTATTTTTCCCATCAACAGGCAATTCTGTTGAAATTGATGCTATCGAGGCAAGAGCAGTCAGAATTTTTAACAACAGCAAGAATGTAACAAAGGCACATGCAAAGATGGTAAAGGTGTATGGCATCGAAGCACCTTTGATCAGCACAGTACAGCACTGGGCTGCCAAATTCAAGCAGGGCAGGAGGAACCTAGTGCAGGAGGAACCCACACAACAGACAACCAGCAACAAGCACCAACCAAAAACAAGTTGCCACAGTTGAAGCCATTGTGTTCACTGATTGCTGAGTCCATGTCACCCAGATAGCCTACCAACTGGGTATCTCGATTGGCTCTGTATCAACCATTCTACACAAGGCTTCAACTGCAGCAACTTGTTCTTGGTTGGTACTTGTTGCTGGTCATCCACTGTGTGGGTCATCCACCAGGCTCCTCCTGCCCTGCTTGAATTCAGCAGCCCAGCATTGTACCATTCTGAGTGAAGGTACTTCTGTGCCATACACTTTCACCATCTCTGCATGTACCTCTGTTGCATCCTCACATTTGATTTTAAAAAATGTTATGGCTGTCTTGCCTCAATAGCATCAATTTTGATAGAATTGCCTGTGGATGGGAAAAATAAATTTAATATAAATAATTGCTCAAAAGACATGACTGTGCCAAATTTATATGATCATTCTCTCATGGAATCTATTTTGTCTGCAACATAATAGATTTCTAGAATTTAATTCTGAAGTAATTGAATGACAGAACTTTTTGAAGGTACTTCTTCCTGAAGTGTAAGATATGACTTCATGTTAAGCACTGGATGGGCAGGGAGTTTTGCAGTGATGAGAATGAGACTGAATGGATTGTGGTGCCTTTCTTTTTTTAAATGTAAGTGAGAAGAGGGAGGAGAGAGAGAGGAAGAGGGGATGTGTGGAGAGTCGGAGAGAGCGTCTCCGGGCTCTCTTTGAGGAGGAGGAGAAGACAGAGGAAGCAGAGGTCCTTGCCCAAACCCCCCATCATCCTGAGGAATCTTCATTTTGGTCCACTTTCCAATGCTTCTCCCATGGCCCCATTCAAAGCTCTCTTTACCATCACCGACAGTCTCGATCTGTCATACTCTGATTCCATTCATGTGAGTCTGGTCCAGATAGAGGACACCTGTCTTGAGAAATTGAGATCACTCTGGTCTCCTTTGAGGATTCAGGATGATTAACTTTTACATGCCAAATGTTTTCATATTCGAACAGAGCAAAATGTGAATTTTGCCATATTTAAACACAGCCTTTATGTGGAAAAATGCAAAAGTTTCCATATTCGAGCAGCATGGAATCTTGGTTTTTTGTAATGATCTACCTGTAAACTTTGTAACAGGGCAATGCATGGCTCAGAAAATTGTTCTGGAAAAAATTAGACAATCATCTCAACATCTTATATATGTCCAATATACTAGTGTTGAATCTTGTAATTTTCACTGTAATATATGAATCTTACTTTCTCCCAAAGGAAATGGTAGGGCGTTTTTTTTTTTTAAATCACCCTCTACATAACTGTAACACTGACAGATTTCCTGATATAAAATGCAGACAGTTGTATGATTTTTTTCTCCACACCAGGCATTTTTCATATTTGAAGAAAACTTACTTGTCTCATTTTCATTCTATTAGCCTCAGTCATACTCATAAACTGTCACCCAATTTATTGACCTATGGAGCTTGCTGGTGCCTTCTGTCCTAAAACAGTGCAATATAATGGATTAATGCATGGAGCCCCAGCAGAATAGCTCTATTTAATCTTTTATGGCTGACAAGTATTGGTATTTAGGAAATTACTTCCCTCAATAATCTCTCATGGCTGTCATGTACTTTTTCAGTGGTTAACCAACCTCCTAATGCTGCCAGTTGCTAGTAATTCTTTTTGTATGGCACACCAAAGTAGCATGCATTGCTCATTTTACCTCCTTGTCTTGGTTAAAAAGACACCCTTGAAGAACTCTCTCTGATGGACAAAGCAGATGTCACCAGACACTAGGTCCACACTGTGTGGTGAATGAAGTTTCAACTCACCTCTCACCTACCTCAATTCCTAAATGGTAGCCCCAATTACATGTGCAAAACATGGCCTTTCACTGTCATACTGGAGTAACATACCATATGTCAACAGTCCATGTATGCTATGAATAATAGACTTCAACTCATCAAGCTTTTCACAATATAGGACCCTGAGCCCTGTGTTGTCAATTCATTCAAATTCAGCAAACAAGACCTGAAATGTTTGTGACACTGGCATTAGATGACAGGACCAAGACCTGTATCTGCATGAAGTGCCATTCTTTGATATGAAGTTATATTTCAAGGACTAGACAAGGAAGTTGGAGCAAACCTTCAAGAGCATGCAATGATAATATTTATCTTCTTATTTCTTCATATATTTACATTCTTGTTAATGTCGCTTATTAATGGGGCTCTGAATTCAGTACTGGTCCACGGGAGCATACATGCGCAAAGATGCATTAATTGTTAAAACAACTGAAAAGTATAAATCCTGCCTCTTGTGTCTGTGTATGTATATTGTGTGTGCTGGTTTTTTCCATTTTTTGCATTTAAAGAAGGGCTTATTGCTAAAGAGCTTGTTTGTTTCCTTTTCATTTCCCTTTTTGCCCTGAATAATCTACTATCGGACGAACGACACAACTGCTGCGCCGCAGAATGTATTTTTCCATAGCCTGTAAGTACAAATGCTGTACCACAACTTTTTGGGAAAATGTTCTGATACTACGTCAATAATGGTTTCATTGTCAACAGCTTCGTTTTAAAACAACTGCACTACTCAGCTAGCAAGTGTTTACAAGCTTCATAGAAAAAATCTGGCTGCCAGCGCTTACACAGATTTAAATCCGTACAATAAAAGTTAATATTATTATTTCATAACTTTCTAACTTCTTTGTAACCATGGTACCAGTGTGAAGCTCCCTTTTCTTGAAATGATTTTGCCTTTCTTTTTATTCCCCATTGTAGGTTTTTGATGAAGATGCCTCACATCGATTGCATATGGAACTGCAGGCCAAGGATCTCGCTCAGAGCATCAGTCTTTCTCTGTAAATACTTTCATGAATGTGTGGACAGCTAATGAATGAAATTTCCAAATTTTTCTTTCATGATTCCCTGTAGAATTTCTCAAAGGCAACTGAACTTCTTTTATTTCTTCCATCCCTGGAATACGTTCAGACAGGAGACTGAAGACCAACCCCGAGAAATTTTACAAGCCTATGCCTGTTACTGAGAGGTTGCTATTAAAACTCTTGTGAATACCCTGTAAAAAAAAAATGAATGGGATCATTTCACGCCTAACCAACAGTGTGACCTACCTGTCGCAGTTCTTTCCAGGAAACCCTTGAATACCCTACATGAGAAGCCTCAAAATCCATTACTGCATTTTTTTTTATATAGGCAGGTTCTCGAATTATAGACTCTTGAAGATCTGAATTTTAAAAGAAATCAGTTTGCGCCATCTCTAGCTCCAGTCTTTCGTTATTAAAGTAAACAACATCATTTTCGAAATAGTTCTGGAAATGGGTTGAGGAAGTAAATTTTTTTTCTCCGGAAATAAGTGTACTCCCAAGTTAAAACAAGATCGCCTCGTGTTTTTTTTTATTTATCTACCAACAAAATTGGATCGGTTGCTTCAACAGTTTGTCATTTCAATTAAGTGCTGACTGGATTTACCCATGAATCAGCGAGCCTTTTGGCGCATGTGGATTCGCGTTTCTTGATTTTTTTTATTTATTCCGAGAGAAATAAAAATTCCGAGAGGAGATTTTTGGGAAATCAATGTGTGATGCGATGATCCAAGGCCTTGTTCTCCGAAAGTGATTGATGGATATTCGAAAAGTTCCTGGTACCATACGCGAAGGTGACCTTGAAGAATGTCGGTAATCTGTCGAGGGAGAATCAGATTTTAGAGATTCCGTTTTAATGGGTTGGTCGGGGGTTAAAACTACGGCTGTACCGATGCATCGACAACCACCGGTATCGGCCACCGATATGGTACTGCTGGTGCAATCGGCCATTGGTACATTTTCTAGCTGCTGACGTCGTTGTCCAAAAAAAGGTGCCGAACGAAGAAAAAAGAGAAGAAAAACTTCCGATTGATCGGAAAGCGTTCAACTGAAAATGTCTTCAAGATATTCTCTTGCGGGATATCCAGAAACATTTAATTAAGGATGTCTTTAAGATATCCCTTTCAGGATATCGATTAGGATATCCCTTTCAGGATATCGATTAGGATTTTGACTGGAAATGTTTTTGGCAGATATCTAAGATGTCCCGAAGACATCCCTTTCGAGGTGTCAGAAACCGTCCGACTGAAGATATCCTTCGGATATCCCATAAAGACCTTGGGACAATCCATGGGTTCAGTTGGGACATCAATGGGATGTCACCGCTTTTTAGATGTAGCTTTCGGGAAAAATCCATACTTTTAGATGCATTCCCCGGGGTCATACTTCTTTGGGGAGACATATTCAATCATCCGTATTCAACATAAAGAGGTATGAGGAAAAATCTGGTATTCATTGAACTCTTCAAAGAGCAGCATCTGCCATTCATGTTCGGATAGGCAAGGCCATGGGCGAAGATGTGAGTATTCTGAATTTTAAAAAAAGGATAAACCCCGTGGCGTATTTTGACTGAAGGGTGGGGATCAGGGCTACAGGGTGAGGAAGCTAAACCCCACCCGAGCGATATCAGGGGGAAAAATTATTACCTCCAAGGTGGTTGCCAAGGAAGGCGGCTGCTCCCTCCCGTAAAATACGCCAATGGATAAACCTAAAGCCAATGAATTCGATCATGGAATGGAATCAACGCTTGATCTGTGTTCGTTTTGTTTTAAATAATCAAAAGCAAAGGAAGGGATTTGATTTTGATTTCCTTCAATTTGTGAACTTTCCAGAGTTAATTTTAAAATGGCGAGATGTCTTCTATTCTTCAGCAAAGATAATAAACTGCATATAAAATGAAATAAACTTCCTCACAAAACATAAGTTAAAATTGCTGCTAAAAAAGATTTCAACTGATCCAAGTTGCATGAGGCACTTGGATGATTTGGTAGTGGACTTTTGCAAATTTAATTTGAATCTCGACTCCTGGAAGCTGGATGAAAGAGCACCGCCCAGAGCATTCATTACTCTACCATTTGAATTCAAAGCTCAAGACTTTCTGAACTTGAGGTCAGTTTTGAAAGATGAGAAAGCCAGAAGCAAATTTCCAGCGAAGAGTGTGTACCCCAGACTATCCTATAGCCTAAGAAAACCACTTGGCCTACTGCCTTGCAATCATAGCTCCTTCATAAAGAATCTCAATCTAGAGAACATCGATATTCTATCCTGCATATGTCATGAAAATCACCCGCAGAGATTTGTTAGCAAAGATCATGGACATATAACAGGAGATCTGAAATTGTGGATAATGTAGAATTGAGAGCGTTTTTCAAACAGGATGCCAAATATAGGATGAATGGGAAATTCCATGAAGATAGATTTTTTCAGGAATTATTGATGGCCTTGGATAAATGCATCAGTGCGATTTCTTATAGAATAGGGCTACCTCAAATTGCCTTTTTAGAATGGAAGCTGCATATTCTATGCGAAACAAAGCGACTGATTCAAAATTTCAATCCTAAATCATGTGACGTCTACATTGACATCTCCATTCCAAGAATCTGCTTTCGCTATTGCAAAAAACTTTATAATAAATTTCATTGATAAAGCTAGTAACAACTTCGCATTCATTTGCAAAAAATTCTATGGGCATTTGATGAGCAGAGAAATTATGACAAGTCCCACTTACAGTAAAATGGATCAGCTTCTTGTTCAGATCTTAGAGGATCTAATGCACTTGAATAGTGCACACAATATTCAAGTTTCGGATAGAAGCATGAAATTGCTTTTCCTTTTCTGTAACCCCAAATTTCATAAGGTTCCCATTAAATCTAGGTTTATAGCTAGTTCTGTCGGGACATGCCTTAAGGCACTCTCACTGCAATTAAATAGCGTTTTAGATAAGCTTTGTCTCAGAATAAGAAAAGGATGTTCTAGTTGTCATTGCTGGTGGGTCATTAAATTTGACAAGAAAGTTTTGAAAGCATTTGAATTTCTTAATGCAAATTGAGGAGCAAAAACTGTTATGACTTGAAAATTTTCTACTCTCTACACAACCATTCCACCAAAACTTTTGCACGATTGTGTATGTGAAATGTACGCGAAGTATGCATATCAATGATTTTATGAGATGTACACCTGCTCTCTTGAGTACTTTTCAAAATCTTCCAGAGAACTGCCTGGAGAACAATTATCTATCTCTCTGGTCAGTTGTCTTTACCTTGTTAATATACTCTTGTTCCTGTGGTAGAACCATCTCGTATTTCATTACGGATCTCACCGGTACTAACCATCATAATTGGAGTCAGATTGTAAGTAACAGCACCCACATACGGACACGTCAGGAACGCCCACAACATCCTAGTCGCTCACAGCCTAGTCCCTTTCTTTAACATAGTCCCCTTTTTGCTTTGACCATAAAGGCATCTAGTCTCGGAAGAAATAGCCCCTCCGTCGTCATCTAACGCAGTGTTTCCCAAACGGTGTGCCGCCAGTAAGGCTTAGGTATGCCGTGAGATTTGAGAGTTGACAAAAAAAAAACTAAAACTTAAAACTAAAAATACTTAAAATCAAGAGGGAAAGCCATCTCTCAGTGGAAAACGAGCTTAGAGCTGCACTATCACGCCTCTTATCAAACTGCTGTGTTCAGCGAAGCAAGCACAAGTTTCCCATTGAAACTAAGTAAATGGCTGGGCGTGCCGTGGAAAGTTCAAGTGCCCTTATGTGTGCCGCAAATAAAAAAATGATCGGGAACCACTGATCTAACGCATTCTACGCGTTCACCATCCTACAAGTAAAGAAGCCCTGTCTCGACCTGAGCCGTATTCTATTATGTTCTCAAGTGCGATTTGCCGCTTAGCTGGTATTTGCCCCATTCAAATGCATGACCGAGGTTGAGCACTTTACTTTATCTAAGTATAAGATTTTAATAGAATGCAGCCCCTGAGCTGCACCTGCGGTTTACGCAACTTGATTTGATTACCTCTCGTTCTCTTGCTGCCATCGAACTGGAAGAACCTACCAAGCTCTACATTATCCGTTCCATTAATTATCTTGAAAGCCTGGATGAGATCGCCGCTCTATAACCTTCTCTCAAGCAAGTACAGTCCCAACACTTCTAAGTGCTTCTCGTGCGGAAGTCCCCTGAGCTTCATCATTCTTGTGGCGCACGAGTTCCTACTGGCAACTGAACGACGGATGAATTCTAGAATCCTGTTACATTGAGCAACCGTCGCTTGCGCGTGCGAGGAAAACTAGAGGTCTTCGTCGAAAGAAACCACTAAACCTCTCTCTCCCCTTTTGTCTCCCCCAGTTTTTCTACGCCAAACGAATTGAGAGACCTATCAATATTTTGGTCGACGTGGAGAACTTTACACTTACTTTTAGGGCAGTTCTAGATTAATTGGGACAAAAGTGGTAAAAAAAAATGGCTTCACAAAACTAATCCAACTTAAGTTTCGTGCACTGTATTGATATTAAACTTGGACCGAAAAACCTCCGTTGAAGATTCATCACCTGAAGTGGGATGTTTTTCAGTACTCTTGCACCATTCCATTTGAATGAATTTAACACTTGTTTGGTGAATCTCGCTTTTTGACTATTATGTAACGTCAGTAACGCTGGAAAACTCTCATAGCCAATTCAAAAAGCCAAAAAATATTATACTAATGGTTAGAGCAAACTCTAGACTACAAATCTCGTTTAGGCAGAATTTTTTGTAAACCAAAACGTTTTCGAGATAAAGAAGAGAGAAGCGTAGCAGCCCTCCACGGTCCATTGTTGAGTACGGGAGCACGTGACGTTTCCCGAACTCAACGGCTCCCCGTCCACGGCCAATCAGGAAGCGCTAGCGTCGTCTGCTCCTGCGTGGAATGGGACTCCGTATAACCCCCAAGGAGTTTCACGACATTTGTCGATGTGTGTCGAAAACGGATCTTTCAAATGAAATAATTTGCCTAGATTGTGGAACGTCAAAGCCACGAAATACGTTATGCCTGCTGAACACCATCTGCATGCCACAAATTCACCTAGAACGCCGAGTTCTCTATGTGCAACATCTAGACTCGCCTTTCTTCACGGACAACATTGGTTTAAAGCACCGAAAATGAATTACAAACTATACAATTGCAAGTTGCGCAATGCATATATTGTGATGGTTGAAAAAGGAGAACCTGATAGAAAGACTCTAAAGGAGGCAGGGCGGGGGGAAGGGGGCAGTTGATCCATCTCACTTCGTTCATGCAGAATCGACAGATCCTTATAGTACATCCAAAAGTTTTTTTTTAGAGAGATGTCACTGAAGTATACAAGACTACCCATACATAGGCAATAATTGCATTAAGGATTATCCCAGTGTTCTCCCTACTGTCATCATATCTCAGCTTGGAAGAATGCAAAATTGCTGGCCATATGAAAGCATCCGGCTTCTGAATCCTCCCGAGACCTAAACAAAATGTTTTGTCGATTTTCACGATCAGAGTGGCTCCATTGCAAGACATTCAGGAAGCACAACATTGCCAATCCCAAGCATTTCAGCGGGAATCATTCATCGTCATCCTTGGGTGCTTCTCACGCCACAGGCTCAGTTGCATTCGAACAATTGAATGAATCTTAGTGAATTTATGGAGAGAGCTATTGACGTGGTGGATAGATGGGTTGACATAGATCTGCAAATCCCGCTGAATCTGTGGACTAATTTGGCTGTAGAGAGTGGTCAACATGCCCTTGCTTCACAGCAAGACTTAATTTAAATTTTGCGGTGATACTTTAACCAACACCTGGGAGTGGGAGAGAAAGTTCTGGCGTCATTCATTGCACAACTGGTGCAAATCTTCATCGAGTTACACTCTTGATTATTTATTCCATCACTAAAAGTATATGATATCATTACCGTGTAATATCATATACTTTTAGTGATTCCTTCCCTGTGATTCTTTCACTCCACTAATCTACTCACTGGTATGCCTCTCCTTTCCCCTTTACATAGAGATCATTTGCTTGGAATTTTCACCGTAACAGAATTCTGTCGAAATTCGACATGAAAAGGTCATATGTAACGTAATACATATGTTGAATCAGAGATTTTTCTCTCAAAATAAACAAGGAGCCAAGGAATCCATAGCCGAAAACCGGATCCTCTTCTGTCCCCTCTTCTCCATCACCTTCGCTTGTTTCCTTTTCCGAACGTTAGAAACTGATGCCGGGCTGACCATCAAAATCCGCGCTGTGTCGTGAATTGTCCTCCCCTCTTTTTGCATATTCAGGATGGTCTGCTGTTCTTGAAGGGTCAAAGATTTTCCCCTACTCCGACGTGTTGACATGATGTAGAAGGGAGTAAAGTGGGCTCAACCATTGTTACCCCAAGTATGGGAAGTAATACCTACTACAGTGACATCTCTCTAAAAAATTTGTGGATGTACTATACCTCGGGAGTCAGATACATCGCTGCGCTGCGTTTTCCCTTACTACACGGATGGAGTATGGAAAATTAGTATTATAGGACTTTCTGGTCTCTGAAAGCCTGTAAACATACCTTCAACTTCATGAAAAATCTCTCTCAAACATGGGTGAAGCGTGGGTTTTTTGATGAAATGTCCTATCTCGTGTGGCATTCTAATGACGCCAACGCTATGACGTCATCGGAAAGGAAGGTTAGCAGGAATGATGGCGCCTCGCCGTATTTGGCGTGTTTCGGAATGAATGCCGTCAGTGCTTAATGGTCCAAACTGGCCTCTTGGAGCGAAGGATTACTTTAATTGACTTGCAGATACATTCGTACCACCTTTGACATTGGCCTAATTTTCAGTATTTCTTCATTACTGCAGTCCTTTTAAATTGCAGTAAACTAAGCTAAAGTTTGTTAAGTTCTTCAGGCAAGGGTTCAGGGTACCAGGAGAAAGTCAAACGCCCATGCTCCGACCCACCTATAACTTGTGGCTAAGTCAGATTTCGAACTGGACCGACCCCAATACACCCTGAATCCTCGATAGCCTTAGGCCTAACTCCAACATATACGAGGACCTCATTGAATTCAAATGAATTTGTACATCTTCGACTCGAAGCCCAAGACGGAGGCAATTCTTTTGACCGACGCGATGAGGTTAGGCCATTGAACCGAGACATAGGCTTAAGGTTAATTTGAAATAGGTCATTGGACATAGGTCGTTTGAGGAGCTTTAGTTTGCCTTGGAGTGTTTCCAGTTCTATCTTGAGGAGGATTTGATACTTGAATTGCAGGTATGACATACTGATCCTTATTTTCACTGTTGTCTGATATTACCTACAGGTGTTTGTAGACCAATGAAAAATATTTAAATGTCTTCCTAGAAATTTTTTCATCTTGAAAGTCCCTTGGTTTTCCTCCAAGTCAAAACAAGGTTATTGTCAGGCTCTTATATAATCTACCTAATCTAATACTTTAATTGAAAGAGGCCAAAAGTTGTGGTGGCTGTCACCTGTAATGTGTGAGGCCTAAAGCACCAGGTCCACAAGACTCTGCTGTTCTGGGCCATAAGCTAGACCAGGGCTGCTCAACTACCATGAGAAAAGGTCCACAAAACAAAAATTATGGAGGCCCGGCGGTCTGGAAGCTAATCGTAATGGAGCTTCTGCTGCACGCTGGGAGACATTCATTGACTGAACCAGGATAATGTTTTTGATCCAGCATGCGATTGCTTCAAAGAATCAATTTTTTGTCGCCTAAGTGGCAACCCGTTGGGGAAGTTTGCATTGAAATTATGGTGCTTCGTTTCATAATGCCTCTTCACGTTTCCGCTGTTGATGATAGAAACAGTAGCATGGCAAAGCAGACAGAGAGAATTTAGATTGGGTACATTTGGCAAGATGAAACGATAGTCCTCCGTCCAGCTGTCTTTGAATTTTCGATTTTCGCCATCTACCTTTAGTTTTCTTGAGGAACTGGCCATGACTGTCACGGGGATTGCACAACACCAAAACGTAAAAGAAGGGCATGGGTAAAGCGGGTCAAGAAATCGAAAGGAACTAAGGAAGGCCTGCTGTCCGGAGGATGGAAGTCTGAGGTCCGGATCCGGACTGTGGTTCGCAGGTTGATCAGCGCTGAGCTAGACCATCTAATACTTTAATAGATTTATTTGTGAGGTTTGGTCGTGATGATAATGAAATTAGCTGGGCGGCAACTTTTTTGAACTTCTCGAGGTTGGTTTGAACCAAACTGCTTCATATCTTTGTGTGAACATTTTCAAAATTTCTATCCATTACAAATTTCTACTCAATTTTTCATCAGTAATGCTATTTTATGACAAAACTTGACTTACTCATGCCTTCTTCATTTTGAAAAAATAACTCACAAGATAGATGGGAACAAAAACGATTTATTATGAGAAATAATCCAAAGAAGGAATATCCAATGAAAGATAAATTGAATAAGTTGTCCATTCACCCTTGATATACTTTTGCCATCTAGAGAGGATAGGGGTTTGAAAGGAATATTTTGGGAAGTTACTTTAAAGGTTATACATAACTAATATTTCACATGCAACATAATGGATGAATGAACCGGTCTGAAAGGCAAAAGTCATGCCCCATAGGGATTTTGAATAATAGTAAGGAAAAATCATTTCCTTTTTTGTTTATTAAAGTAAATGTAAAATAAAAGATCGATTTGAAGTACCTTGCCTTCCATACATTGAAACCAAGCTCACTCTCTCATCTTGTGTTAATGTTGCAGCCATCACTTACCTGGAAAGAAAAAATACATTTTCTCTATACTTTTGTGCCACCCTGTATATTCCCACATCCTAACCATCCAAACTTAAAATAAGTAATAGCTGTCATTGGTTTGGCATAGGCCTATATGAAATGGCCTGGACTACTAGACATGTTCTCAATGGTTCGTGCATCTGCATTGTGTGGAGATGAGAGGAGAGGACGTGTAGAATGCCAGATGTGCATTTCACGTGTACACCTAGCAACTCTGTCTATGCAGCCAGGAGCAGCTGCTCTCCCCCATTGTCTACTATGGATCTGTCAACTGCCAGGGCTAGAAGGGAAGTAGATGTTTTTATGGAAGACTGGTACCCTGACCTAGGTGGAAAGCTGCACATGTGCATTGGGTCATGTCCAGTCGCTATGGTTACTGCAGACAGACAAAATGGGGAAAAAAGTGACAGCCCTACCCCAATATCTGGCATTTCTCCATAGTACCCATGGGAATGTCAGATAATTATTGTTGCTTCAGCCAAAATACACCACTGACCTCATGCTATGTTCATTAACAACCATAAGACTTGTCTGGATATTCACCACATGTTAGACATGATACTGTTAGCCCATAACTTTTGACATTGTAATATAGATAAAATATATTATGCACCATACAATTGATAATATATGAATGCGTATATGGTGGTACATGAAAAATATATGATCATACATGACCATATAGAATCATACACCCTGTTATATATGGAATTTTTATATGGGAAAGCAGTTCAAAGAGTGAAAGAGAGGTGGTAGCAGCTGTTTCCTTTCTCCAATTGTAACCATATATTTTTTCAATATTCCATTGTGTACCAGTAGAATTGGCATCACATGCTTCATTGGTCACATACCATGTGTTTGTCACCACTGACATGAAACAAATGGAGTCTATTTAAAATAACATGAAGTTAGAATTATGATAAATGTGTTCAGTCATTCCAAATTTGTTCTTTAATATTGATTATATTTTCCCTACAGATGGATCAGGCAGCAGTGAATAGAGTGAATGACTGGTGAGACACCAGTGAATCAGGAGGTTTATTGGTGGGTGAAGATGCTTGCTCTATTTCTCTTCATTCAAAGATGAGGAATGTTTGGGAGATGTTCAAAGTTGATTCTGATCAGATTTGCATTAACACTTAAAGGTCCTGGTGTTGCCTTATTCTTTGATTGGTATAAAGGGCATTTCACAATGCTTGGGTATATAGGCAGATGCACCCATGCACAATTTTACAATTGAGCTCTTCCTAAATTTGCATGCAAGCCTTGCATTTATGAAAAACCTTGTAAGTGGACATGCTTGTGCATGTGTGAATCTGCCTGCCTACCAAAGCATTGGTGTAAAGGATGCATGACATGCAAAGAGTGAAATGCCCCTGAGGCTCAAAGTGTTACCCTGTTAGGTGTTTTGGAATTATATTGCCAGTGCTGTTATGGTTTCCTGACCCTACCATGTGAGATTTCATGGCAATTAACATAAGTTTATTCACTTGTAACATTCTTCTTGCTTTTCCTCTTTATGTGATCTATAAAAATTATCTACTTGAACCTTTTCAAATGAAGTGAAACCCTCTCTCCATTAGAGTTTCTAAGATGCCACAGATAACCTTTGAAGGTAAGGTAACAAGGGAAAAACAGTGAAGTTATTTGTCTAGAAACCACCCTCATTGCCTTGATACTATACCTTCCTTGGAGGGTCATCTCACCATCCAAATGTGGAGAAAGGTACAATGGAGGTACAATCAGGAGAGTATCTCCCTTGTAACTTTGCTCCATTCAGATGAAAGGATGACTTTCCAAGAATGGTAATGTAGCATAACAATGAGGGTGGTTTTTGGTCTAGTGAATTTGCCATTTATCCTATGTTACCTTATCTTCAATGATTGTCTGCATGCGCTGTCTATTGGACGTGTTTGCCCAAAAGTGGAACAATGAGATAAGCAAAATTATTGTTTTGTGTGTCTAATCAATTAATAATGCAACCACAACCAAGCTATCCTGAATCCATACTAAAAACCTACTTTGGTGTTAATGCAACATATTTAGGTATAGAGCTATAGATGTGGTATAGAGAACAAGCATCAACTTTTAATTGACATCCCAGTGTAATAAATAGTAAGATGTCATGGTGCTTTGCAATGTGTGTGCTTATTAGAGGTATAAGGGCTGTTCAAGAAATTTTGCTTCTTTATGTCTTGGGAAGGAAACACTGTGGGACAGTGAAAATCACACCATCATTTCAAAGTACTTCCTCTCAATCTCCTTGGAGAATTTCATCCTTGTAATGCAGGTTTGAAAGCACTGTGCACAGTCCTGTTCAGGGATACTTTGTAAGCACTGGAAAATTTCAATACCCAATGCACTCCAGGTGCCATAAGGATTCCCTGCGAGCTTGGACTTGAGGGTCAGAAATAACCAGAAATTGCAGGGGATGAGATCTGCTGAGTACAGTGGTTGAGGGTCCACAGTCAAACCAAGTTCATCAATAGCAGGGAAAACAACTGCAGACCTTGTCCATGGGCATTCTCATGAACAAGCTTTGACCCCAAGAGTCAGACATTGGTCACCTCTCCCTCATTGCTTTCTTGACTAAATGGAGTACTACTGTAATGACCTTCTCTTGTAATGGCTTCTCTTTTGGAGTTGGAACTTGAATGATCAGACCATACAAGCTGAAGAAAATTAAAATTGTATAGAGCACGTTGTCAACTACCTTCTTATGTCTTGTAATGACTACTCATGGATCACCCTCATTGACCCATGTTTAATTCCTTGTCATCCTTTCTGGTTGATAAAATGAATCCAAATTTCATTGCCAAGGATCATTTCAGCACTACACCTTGAATCTGCATTTTCAAAGTGAGGTTCTCACCTGCTCGTCCTTTTGTGAACCCATGGGGTTGAAGTACAAATTTTTCTCATTCAGAAGTTGGCAGGCAGAATAGTTTTAACCCTTCCTGTTTGAATGCCTACACTTTTAGCTATATCCTGCACAGTTGCCCTAGTATCCTCTTAAACAATGGCCTTGATGAGCAATATTGTCTGGGGTCACAGCAGTAGTGACCTAAGGCCAGGGCAGCCTTAGGTCACTTTCCAGACTAGTCCTTCCTTCCCTGAAACAAGCAGTCCAATGGCAAACCATGGATATGTCAGGGACTGAAACCTTATACACCTGTGCTTAGTCATTATGAATTGACTATGGTTTACAGTCAAAGAGAGTATGATCTTTAACCCTTGTAATGCCTTAGTGATACCTTTTTAACATTTTTTTTCCTGTAGGTTTAAGTTAGCTTCCAGCTTAGCATAGATTAAGGTTTTCACATGAGCAAGGAACTGACCATTGTTTTTCACACTGCTTTCTAAGGAAGTTTTAGATTTACATTTGGAATAGGTCCTTAAGGTATGATAAGACCTGGATTTTTGACACAGGTTGGTGCTTTATCAATTACCTTATATAAAAATAATACCTAGACAGGTGCTCTGATATGTCAAAAATTGAGAAATTTTTTAGTTACACATTTTTAAAAGTATTTTTTTTTCCAGCCACTTAACCCTTTCATGGGCAATGTCCACACCTGAGGACATATTGAAAAAAACATTTATTTTGCCACTGTGCCACTAGTGATCATGTACATATTACCTAGAAGCCTACCCATTTTGAAGAAACCTCATTTTAAACTTATGAGATCTCCTGAATTCCCCATGAGAATTGTGATCTTGAGATCTTACAACTTTTTCATGAGGATTATGAGACCCATTTAAAAACCTCATGAGGATCTCATGAGATTTTTCCAGCAAGCGTGAACCTCCATGAAGTAAATGGCATAAGACCAGGTCAGCATCATGAGATCAGTCTTATAAGCCCTCATGAGATTGGTCCTGATGCCTTGAGGATCATGAAGACATGAAATCATTATTTTTTTAATTTAGAACAATACGGTAAAAACTCATTAACTCAAATCCTGATAGGTCAAAATTCCCCTAATCTTTTTCAAAGTTCAATGTTTAGTGCCAAATCCCATAAGACACCATGTTAAATATTCCATTTAACTCTAATTCGCTTGTCTCAAATTTCTGGTTATCTCAAATGACATTTTCACTCCCAATTACAATTTTTTCAAGGTTAACTCAAAATTGGGGTGTGAAGGGGGAAAAATCATTGTGGGACCTATCAGTAATTTGTTGAATAGGTGAAAGCCAAGAAACCTGCTCAGGAGAAAATCCTATACTTTTTTTTTCCTGCTTTTTCCTCCTCCCTCACAGATGCCTGTGGAGAGGATTAAAACCAAGAAGCTTCTGCTATAAAATGAAACAACCTCTTGCACTTTCCCTATCTGTCTATTACTCTTACTTCTGGCCATTTCAGTCATATTTGGTTTCCAGAGTACTAGATGAAGGGCATTGTGATGAATGAATTTTGCATATGGAGTATCAAAGTTTCCCTGGACACGAATAAAAGCCAATGAGAAGGTTGTCATTCCCTGAAATTGGTTTCTTAAGGATGGAAAAATCACCCTATTATATCCCTTAATGTGAGTATTTATTTTTTATTTATTTTTTTTTTTTTACAGGTTGAGGCAGTTCCTGATGAGTCAAATTTCCAATAACTAAACAATTTGCCTGGTTCCAAAAAGTTTGATTTAGCGGGTTTTTACTGTACTATTGGAATTATATGACTGGAATCCTAAATTGTACATAATTCTTGTCGCAAGATTTTCTTTGCAAGAAATTTGAAATAAATTGAATTTGCCCTTGAGTTGGTTATCCCATCTACTTATGTAGCTGACAAATCAACTGCCTGACATTACATGCTCTTGTCTGGCCAAATTTTTGTTTTGACAGACTTCTGTCAACTTCTCTTGTTTGTATGATTTATGTCCAATATGACTGCACTTAGTTGGCAAATGTAGGAAATTATTAGTATGCAAATGTTGCTTACAATTTTTTCATAATATTAAGTGGTGTTTTACTGGTATCTCCAGCAAAGATAATTGGTAAGCAGATGTGTTAATGATGTAACTTTCTTGGGAATCTAGAACTTTTTCAGCTTCCAAAAATTCCTGAGAATTTTGAAACTTTTGAATTGGCCTTGTTTATTTTTTTTCACTTTGAACAAAATTCTGAATTGAATATTCCTCTTGCATGTACATTTATACAAGCTAGGGATGTGCTCATTTAAGTATAGCCAATGCTGATTCTTATCACCCAATTGAGACATTAGCAGTATTGGTCGATTGATAGTATGGGAGTCAACCAATGCTGGTCTTGACTAGCCCTCATGATTTCAACAGATATCAGTAATAATAAAACTTTGAATGATCATTTAAAATATCAGTATTCAAAATATTAGTATTGGTGCATACCTAATAGAAAGCATTAATTCCTCATCTTTTTATCACCATTTTAGATACAAATATGCACCAATGTATCAACATCTTGCCCTATGCAAGGGCCAGATAAGGTGTTTCCCTCCTCTTGTGCATACTGAGGTAGGCACTTCCCAAGTCTGGCATTCATTTGACAAGTCATCATTCCCTATCAAGGTGGTAGTAGTAGTATAGAATGGTGTACCCTTTATGGGCTTAGTTTTTTTAAAGCTTTTCAATTTACAAATTTTCCATACCTGCAATGCCTTAGGCCTCAAAAGTTAAGTGGTTGTCAAGTAATACAGGTATAGTATTAGTCAAGTTCAAGTGAAGAAGGCATTCCAAGTGACCCATGTATTGTGGGTCCATTTCATGTACAGTTTTAAACATAGCTCAGAACATATATTGTTCATGAAAATGCCATTCCTTTTCTGGCAACCAATTACCAGTCTTTTTTTTATATTGATTTGTATGCCTACATGTAGCATTTCCCTTCTGCAGGTTCCAGTAGGTCTACTGTCAGTAGTCTGAGGAGTGTGAGGAGATGACTTGTGGGTATCCAATGGCTGCTCTTCTGGCTCTCTTTGTGATTTTTCCCTTTGCTACTTCCATCAGTGAGTGACAGGCTTATTGCAAGGATGTAGTTCACTCCTAATCTAGATTTGTCATAATTATTTTTCTAGGCCTAAGTCATTCAATTTTCTAATGTACCCATGAAAAAAGTTATGAATATTTTCACTGGTTCATCTATGGAATAAGAGATATTGGGGGTTCATTTTGCCATTTGAAAATGTGAATGTGTGGCAGATTTGTAAGAGGTATGATTTGAATTAGTACATGCTTTTGGGCATAAGAGTAACTGTTTTATTCAAGTTTTTCAACTTAGAAAATGGTTTGGTTGGTCATTCATATGAATGAACACCCTGTTTAGTGTGTATAATATTTGTGGAAGAGAAAGTATGAACCTGAAAGTAAGAAAGAATAGTATGCTTTTGTTGTGATTGTCTTATAGACATATGGCAACTTTTAAAGTTTTTCTTACACGTTGGTTGGTAACAGGATGTTCAGTGGTATGTTTGAAATCACAGAAAAATTGAAAACACAGGTTTACTTCTGAACATATGTAGAGTGTTTCCTTCTTGTTTTTTCCCTTACAGTCACAATGGTGTTCAGAAACACACACATGGTTCAACCAGTAGCAGGCATGCAAAAATTAGGGAAAAAATTAGGTGTTCCTGGCAACATTTAGATCATGTGAAACCTAAAACTGCTAAAATAAATCTTTAAAAATAATCCCATGATGCATAGTGTTAAAGGAACATAAATTAAAGGTGGTTTCAGCATTCAGTCCTAAGTGTGGGTTGTATAGTAAATGCTAGTAAATAATAGTAAATGCTCAAAAATGATATTTATGTTACCTTTCACTCTTAAAATAAACATCCTTTATTGCTTGAAAAATGTACCAGTTATAAAACTTAAATTGTGAAAATTTACCAATCACTGTGTTGCTTAGCTGCAGCCATGTTGAATTGGAGATTTTAACCCTTTGTTTCATCAGAGCAAACTATTGGAGATAATGTCTTGAAATTTTGACAAGCTCTTACTTGAATGACTGAAAAAATGCTTGCCATGCATCAGCTTGATGCATCCATAAGCTTGATTTGTGAAGGTGATAAATGCATCCAAATTAGCTAACATCAATGAAACACTCTACAGGCTTCTTGATATTGCCTTTGGAGATTTCTTCTTGGCACTGCTTCACAGTTTGACTCTCAACCATGGCCCAATAGTGAAGTGGCTTGAGAGAATGAGGAAACTGACACCTACCATGGTGCTACCCCCTTACCTCAGAGATCTGCTAGTTTTCTCTGCATTATCTCCACTCATAACTTGGAAACTTTGTTGGATTTTTCTCCACATCTTCAAAAGTTTTTCTGTTGTGTCTCATCAAGTCTTCTATGTGTTTGTTTTGGGAAGTTAGTATGACCCCAATACTGCTATTGAACTTGGCTTTTCAGCAATTTTTCTTCATGAATATCCATCCCACACCCCTTGAAACTATAATCAGTTTCATAGTATACAAGTATGAGCTCATGTACCAAATTTCATCAAGCTCACTCAACTTCTTGGTCATGCTTTTGGCTCTAGCTATAGGCCTTACATTACTACTTGGCCTTCCCAATGTTCAGTTGTGGTATACAAAGCATTTGATTTCCTTAAATTCATTATGTCCATGTATGTGAACAAATAAGGTGTTATAGTAACCCATAATATGCCTGTGAGGAACATGTAGTAGGTCCAGAGATAAGTTTGTTCTCTCAGAAGTGCATTCAAGTACTTTTGCAACAATTCCAAAATTTGTTTCATGCATATTGAATTTAAAGATGTGGGAGACCCCCTTATGGCCACCAGAGGATGGCATATTGAAAGAAAACATGTAGGAGACATTGGAATGTGGCAGAGTATGTTGTCTCTGACTTTAATTTGATAGTTGAGATATCTGAAATATGGAAATTATGTCTTATTGTAAGTTTTGGACAATGGGGGCTTTAAAATTAATTTTTTTGTGTCCTTAAATGTGGATGCTATGCAACAAAGGGTTAAGGAAAATAGGTTAATTGAAAGTAAGACTTCTTCCATCAGGCTAGTATATGGCTTGCTTGATGCAACCTTGCTCACAATCAATTCATCTTTTCATTTAGAACATTTAAATTAATAATTAAAAAGTGAATCCAATTGGGACAAGATGTGAAATAAGGTTTATCACATCACATGTAATTTCTAACATAAGGTGGGCCAAAAAAATATACCCAATTTCATAATGAAATTTCAAGATAACCATGCAAGATAGGATTGAATAAAAAAAAATTCATCAAGCAGGTAAAAGTCAATATTTTGTTTTTAAATAACCCTTTTTCTGTTGCAGGTTCAAAATGCCTCCATTAAGTTTACAACAAAGAATCTATCATTGAGAATATCAAAACTCATTCAGTAATAATGACACAATGTATATTGAGTAAGGAGTTTCCAAGGTGTAAGGTGCCAACAGTTAAGACAATACAACTCTTGAGTTTTGATATGCTACTCAGTGATGAAGATTCTTTGTTGTAAACTCAATAGAGGCATTTTGAATTTGAACTTGAACATCCAAAATTGCGAGTTAATTTCTCCCTCTCAAATCCCTCTCGTAAGCTCTTGTGATATTGTGTGGAAATGATATTCACTTGAAATTGAGAACGTAAGCAGCCTACCATTGAAAACGGAATTTCCTAATTTGTCATCCAGTTCAGAGCCCTCCTCGTATGGTGAAGCAACCTTCAACAGAAGAGCTCCTGTTTCAAGTAGTTCAGAGACAAGATGAAAATAACAAACCCTTCATAGTTGAATGTGAAGCTGAAGGAGAGCCTGCACCCAAGTGAGCCTACCAACTTCTAAATGAATTTAAAGCTTATTTTAAATGTGCACTATTACATAGCTGCCACAATGAGATAGGACAGAGGCTTCCAACCTTTCCTGTAGCTGAAATCGAAACTTTGGTCATGAAGTGAGTTACCTTTGCTTTCCAAATGACACACTTGATGTAAAGGGTGTCCAGAATTAAGGAAACAAATTTTAATGCTTATAACTTGACAAAGAAACAATCTACATGTATGGTTAAGGGCTAACTTTAACTTCCTTCCAGTGTGCCATGGCACACCAGTTGAGAACCACTGCCCTAGGGGTGCTGTCACCTGTGCAATTTACATTCTTTTCCACAGATAGCAGCATTTTACAATGTCCTAGTTCTCATCACCAAGTTTCATGTATTTCTTGTTCCTTTTTTTTATGTTTCTCTTTGGTTTAACTGGTAAAATGAACAAGATGTAGAAGCTGGTATTGTCTGTGTCTATAAATATATACGTCTTTTCTACTGGAAAGGAGGGAAAGGATTGCAAAAGGTGTTTGGATCATTTGTTCTAGGTATCGTTGGATCAAGAATGGGAAGCATTTTGATTGGCAGACGTATGACAATCGCATTTCACAGCAGCCTGGTAGAGGGACTCTGGTGGTTACAGTGCCACAGGATGAAGACAGAGGTGAGTTTTATAAAAAGCAAGATTCAAGTGCCTAAAAATAACTGGGAAATTTTCTTATCTCAATTTACTAATTTCATTTGTTCACACAGACATTAACATCTTTTGAGTATGGTAAGGTGGGAAAATTGGGGTGAGGTGTATGGATCAAACATTCTGAGATGAATGGAAGCTGCTTTTGGCATGTTCAAAGCATTGTATGTTTATCTGTTAATTCCATCTTCTAAGTACTCCTAAAAATGTCATAGCCCTTTCATCTGAATGCCCAGCATGAATTCTGTGTCTACTCCAATCCTTGAGTTCATAGGCTAACCTAAGAACTCAATGAATGAATCACTGCAAATGGGCTTGCTTGTTTATATTGATGGTGTGATACTACAAGAGAAGAAATCACTGTGGCCAATCGAGAGTTGAACAAGGTGGACAAAAAAATCTCCACCCTTCCATTTGATCATTATATCTGTACTAATTAAGACATGATCATGCAATCTTGAAGGTAAATATCATTTCACTATCCTAATTGGAGACATGTTACTTCAATAAATTCAACTAATAGTATTTTATACAGAAATTTTTTTTGTTTGCTTGAGGTTAAAAATTGCTGTTGTGCCCTTTTATTTGCATTAACATGCAAATATAAAAATTCTTAATTTCGTTTTTCAATAAGCAATTTGTTATTATGTCGATAGCAATTGTCTTATCAAAAGCAATGTTCAATGCACCCACTTTTTCAACCATCAGTCAACCTATCCTGCCTCTGATCTCCCAGAGTCACTGCTCAAAGGATCCTAGTATGTGAGAGAATGGAATTCACATTCAACTACAATATTCAACCTTGCACTGGAAAGCAGGTGTTGTGCAAAAAATATTGGTTGCATTTCATCTAGTATGTATTCACTATATGTCACATCTCTTTACTAGATGTCAAATGGAATATATGTATATAATTATATGCAAGTGAAGTGAGCCATTTAGTTTCTGAATGTTCTGCAGGATCCTCACCTCATCAATAGATCTTTTTTTGAATTCTTGATGAAGGAAGGAAGGAGTGAAGGAAAGGGTCTGGTTGAAAGGGTGTCAGATGACTGCACCCACAGCTTAAGTCCATCCCACAACCACCACAGATGCACATTCCATTAGCTGGAGAGAACTCATGCTCATGTTACTGGAAGGTAACCAGTGCAACATGTACTGTGAAGGTGGATGTGACCATGCTCAGGGGAGCAGCCAACCTCCAACCAACAGTCAAAAATAAATTAAGCCCTACTGGAAACTGTGCTTGAAAGATCTCTCTGCTAAACCAGGCTCTGAATGAAAAGAGCAGGCAAAAGGAAAATTCTGCTGCACTGGGGTGCCTTACTGGGAAAGTTATATCTGTATATAAGGGTGTGCTTCAATCCAAGCCTGCATGTTAAGAGTCGCCAGAAACGACTCTGATAGGAGAAGTAACTGACCCTGATGAAGGAAAAAACAGAGAAACAATAGGGAAGAAAAGCACAGAAGACAGTAAGATTGTAGGTAAGTGCAATTGAGGAATGTTGCATACAAGAGCACTCACACCTGTTTGGCTCGACATGGGGCAAATCTTTGAGTTTTGCTGAATCGTTGAGCTTATGGTAGCTATCATCTCCACTGTTCACACTGATGGTGTATGGTGGTTCTTCTTATCAGCCCCAGATCCCCTTTCCGTAAATTTGGCAATATACTGCAGAATAGTGGATTTTCTGGGAAAGGCTTGTGTTTGAAATTCTTTTCTGAAGGTTCTCTGTGCAGTCACCTGTGAGTGACTCAAAATAATGTTCCACTATCCCTGTATATTGTCCTAGGCTCCAGGGATCCATGGTCAACAACTTAGCAGTATTTTATCTTCAATCTGAAATGAAATTGAAAATGAAACTTGAAATTATTATTTATGCAGTTTTCCTTTAAATCAACTCTCTCATGGTCCCAGGATAAATGGAACACCCTGTACATATGATGGTACTACTTGCAAGAGTGTAATTGAATGCTAGTTTGGGTTTGCTGCTTTGGGTAGTGTGGTCTTCTGTGATGTTCCAAGTCTGCTTTCATGATTTTATGCTTTTCTCAAATTCCCCCCTCCCCCCCCTTTTTTTTTGTTATTAAAGGCAAGACATATCTTAGTTGCTGAAATCATCCCATTCTCCTTACAGGTTACTATCAGTGTTTTGCAACAAATGAATGGGGGACTGCGATGTCCAACTCTGTACATGTGTACAAGTCAGATCTGAATTCCTTTCGTGAGGACCCACCAAAGGAGATTGAAATTCAAGAAGGAGAACCCTTGAGTCTCAAGTGCAGCCCACCTGATGGTTATCCAAAGCCTCAAGTTTACTGGATGATTCAGGTTTCTATCTTTCATGAATCCAATCAAGGAAGGAAAATTGATGCCTTAATGCTGATTTTGTTTATTGGTGTTGCAGAGCACATCAGGTGCATTGCGAAGCATCAACTCATCTCGAATGACAGTAGATCCTGAAGGAACACTTTGGTTCTCAAATGTGACACGCTTTGATGCTACAAATGACTTTGTTTATGCCTGCAGTGCAACATCTCTCTTTCGCAATGAATATAAGCTTGGGAACAAGGTAAGAACTATCAAATGTAGGTGCAATCTTTTTCAAGAGCAGTGCAATTTATTTTGCGTATCATGTTGATGATTCCTTTTATCTTTTCATGATCGAAAAACAGTCCAACTTAATTAAACATGAAAATATCTGCAACAGATTGCATGATCCTTCCTTCTTTTTCTTCCTTCTTCACGCTGAACTTTCCTTTAACCCTTAAATTATCAACGATTTTCACATATGTTGAGTACCATTGGAGCCACCATAGACTCCATAAGTACAAGGTGAGACCTTTAGGTTCCAGGTTCCAGGACTGATTTTATTACAACTGTTAGACTTGCTTTGACAACTGTTGGCTGAGATCACCTTCAAAGTAGGACCCTCCTGCAGCTACACACTTTGCTCAGTGCCTCTATATTGTTGGAAGCATGCCTGGAAGTCATCCTTTGGAATGTTGAACAGCTACTGTGTCACAGAGGTCTTGATGTCTTCAGTGACATCAAAATGGTGGCCCTTCAAGGAAAGCTTCAAACAAGGGAATAGAAAAAGTCACAAGGGTATAGATTGAGAGAATAAGGTGAATGTTCGATCACGTGCACTTGATTCTTGGCCAGGAAGTCCTGCACTATCACTACAGTGTGTGGAAGCATTGTCAATCAAAAAGAACCACTTTCCTGAAGACCACTTGCCAGGTCAGTGACATTGAATCCTTGCCAGAAGCCTTCTTGAGTAATTCATGTGTCTCAATTGCCATCTTGCTGATTTTAAAGCAAAACTTGGATGTTGATTTGTTGCTCCATCCTTACCACTCATGCACTTGTGACAAACTGACTTGCAAGCCCATGGGACAGAGTGCCATTTTGAGACATGTCAAAGCCTGCCTGACGCTTGCTGACACATTGTATGTTCAGGCCAAGTGGGTCACTTCTGCTTGGCTAGCCCTCAACTTTCACAAAAAAATCATACTGGAACTTAATGGTCACACCTTGTAAAGTTTTATAAACAAAATCAATTTGTCTGAGGACAAGTTGATTTATTTTGACTTAGCTATTGTTACAAATGTTACAGATGACCTTTGAATGAGCCTTACTTGCAATTTTAATTATAATGTTTAACAAAATTCATGTGCCAAGATTCCATTTCCAGCATTTGCATGCATATTTCTCTTGAATTAATTATATCAAGACTTTTTCAAGGAAAAACTGACACGAATGAGACAGTATCTAGTTTTGTTTTTTTTCCCCTCTACTTCCTGTATTTTTCAGTCTGCATTGAGTGAAGGATATCTATCTTTTTTGGTGGGGATTGGTCTAGATCAGGGGTTGGGAACCTATGGTTCAGGAGCCAAAAAGTTTGACTCATGAGTCATGGCTAAAAATCATGGTTGTTCCTCATTTTTCTCATGTATCAAAGAATGTATGTCTGTTGCCAACTTCAGGAAAAATTCTGTCGTTTTGAAAATCTTTGGCTTACAAGCACATGGCTCACATGGTCAAAAAGGTCCCCAAGCCCTGGTCTAGATTGTATTGTAAGCAAAATAATAGGTTTCTCCCTTTGTCTCTGAAATCACATTGTTTCATGTGACTGCCATCTCCTGTCTCTATCCTCAGAATACTTAATGCAATTGAGCACCAGAAAAATTGAAAATATTTCAAAGTAGGTTTGCTATACAGGTACATCTTTTGTAATTTCCTTCTGGATTTAGGGGCAATATAGGTTTTTACTGCCTATGTTTATGTCATTATTCATATGAGAAGGTATTTAGCAGATATTTGAGAAAGAATAGAATCCTCATAAACTGCATAAAAAGCTTGCAGTTTTTTCCAAAATACAACCAACTCATGCAATCAAATGTAGTTGAAGGTACAATTCCTCTCACAGTTTGGAATAATCATAACAGAGCCTTTCCCTAATTGCCTCTTGGCAATTCTTGGTAAGATCATGCAATGCTAATTTCGAATCAGCTGTTTTGAACACATGGTGTCCATCAAGTTATAGCCTTAATGTTGCATTATCAATTATAGCACATGAAGATGTCAGATGATATAATCAGATATGCCTTTCTTTCCATGTTTTGGAGAAGGTATTATGCTGAATGGATTCCTTCATGTCAGAACTTACCAACAGTTGGGATCCCAAGTTGTTTTTGTATCCCAAAATTTGACTTACCATAAAAAATTAAAATTAATTTAAATTCCTAGGGCATAGGGGAGAGTGGGGCACCATGGGTCAGGCTGTTTATAGCTCTCCCAACACTGTTTCTCTTCATGTCGTATGCTACATATCTTCATGCTGAGGTGCCAGGAAAGTGTAGTTGGAAAAAGTGTATTCCCCACCCAAAGTGCAAATTGTGTGGACATTCTTCTGTAGAAGACATTTTTTTGGTTTTTTAGCAGTAATGTTTCGATTTTCACTAATTATTTCATTTGATGAATAGTCTTGATTCTTAGTGGAATTTGATTTGGGAGATAGGTAGTTTGATGGCTTCTGTTGGGGCACAATGGGTCACTGTATTTGAGGCACAATAAATCTGTATATTTTGGCACAAAGGGTCATAACTCAGTGTGCCAAATGTCTTCTGATAGTTGGCAATACAGATCAGGATTTCCTTTGCAGTCTTTTTCTTATCTAATGAAGGGCAAGTATAAGCAGAAGACTCAGTAGGATTCAACACTAGCAGATATGAAATTCTTGTACGTGAAACAAATCATATATTATTTTCATTTTTCATATATCATATATATATAATCATATATCATATATATATAATCATATATTTTAAAGGTTTTTAATTTTTCTAGATGACTTTGGTGGGGTGCATCAGTGTTCAAGAGCTTCTCCTTCTGAGGTGTAAAGACTTCTTTGTGTGATTACTTTGAGTCAAATGAAGTTCATTTTAGTGATGATTATGGGGATGACCCATTGTACCCAGGACACTGACCCATGGTGCCCCATTTTAAAATATGACTTTATCCCACAACACTTGTATATTAACAAATTGGAATCACTGGATTGTGCAGGCATTTTGAGTATTTACACGCCTTCCGTTGCTTCAGAGGAATAAAAATGCCTAAGTTACAGGCCTGCAAAAAAAGTGACCCATGGTGGGTCACTTTAACAAGGCAGGGATGGCCAAATGGGAGGAGCTAGTGGGGAATGGCCAAATTTCTGTTTTTGCCTTTGGCTGGAGGAGTATACCTACATTTAATGGTAAGCACTTTACATGACTGAAACTTGGATCTATGTGCTTTCGCTTTTTGGTACATCGGGTACATGAGTAACCATGCAATCAAGCACCCAGCAGGCAAAACTTGAGCTAGAAATCTCTGAGTGGGACCAGGACCCTGGTGAATAATGGCATTATCACAAAGAATTGTTGCTATGTTCACAGAAGTTCTCAGACATCCCAGATTGAGCCCATCTTTGCAGTCATTCTCCCCAGTTAGAAATGTGGAATTCCTAACCCATTATTTATTAGCATCTCAAAATTGGAATGGTTGAAAATTGCATGCTCATTTAGTAGCATGTACTGGTGTTTGTAGTATGAAATTATGTAAGCATGGCAATACTTGTTTTCCTAGGGATGACTATCTCAGTGAAATCTCAGATGATTTGGTTTAATATATTCCTTTACTGCAGAATCCTCTTCCCACTTTAACCCTTTTGCTGCCATTCACGCCATTTGGCATGTTCATGCAACGAACCTCCACTGGCTTGCTTGGTAGGGAGAGGTTGGCTGGGCATTTAAATCCTTGGCAGTCAAAGGGTTAAGTGTAATTATGAAACACACTTTGAGGTCCACTTTCCTTCTTTATTCTGCCTTCCATAATTTTGAAGCACTCATTTGTGCAATACTGCTTGCATGGCATAGGATCACAGATATATTATTTGTCAGATATATACCCAATTTCATCAGTAGAGGAGAAAATCTAAAGAGTCTGATTTATGTTACATACTCATCCATTTGCCATTACTTGCTATATGAGATATGAGTTAGGGATAGGGCCGGCATGAATATGAAATTTTACTTAATTGGAACATTAAGTCTGTCCAAAGGAATAATCATTGCATTTCTATAATTTTTTAAAATTTCAGGTCAGTGCCTACTCTAGAATTTCTTGACTTGGAAACTGTACATATTTGAATTATTTTATATTATTCTTTATCATATTTTATGATTTTATTTGAACTGTTTTCTGGTCATGTAATTTAACCATTTAGATATTAGACAATCTTTTCCCCATGAATTTTGACTGATTGTTTCCTCTTACAGGTCTATTTGAATGTAGTTGCTGCTGGCAGTGCTCCTGGCCAAAGTAAGCATTCTCCAGTGAAGCAATATGTGAGCAGGAAAAACTTTGTTGCTTATCGTGGAAAGAAGGCAGAACTATGGTGCATTTATGGAGGAACGTAAGTTTTTTTTCAATGGTCTGAAATTACCAGCATTTATCTTTATTTTTAAAAGTCAAGTATGTATTAGGACAGAAAATACTTGCTCAGGCAGGGCATTTAAAAAAGAGAACCAATGCAGGGATTACCTATGTATTACCAGTTACCACTCACTTTTGCTAAAGCATTTGTATTTTGAGTTCTTAACTGGTGGATTTGACTGGTGAAGTTGAAAAACTCAGCAGATATATCTGTCTGTGGGGTTCTCTGATTGACTGATAGTATGTTGTTTCTCTCACTTCCTGCCTCCAGTTCATGCAAGTTTTTTTTTTCTTTGTCAGTAATATGGTAAATCCCAGCATTTCCAGGGTTTGAAGGAGTTGGGAAATTGGAAGCCCATGGAAGAAAAAAACTGTTGATGCATCAACCCATTGTGACACCCCCCCAAAATTAGGCTCTAGTGATCTCACTGTGCATCCAAGGAAAAAGCGAGAGTGCATGGTCATTGGGATTTGAGGCATCCCGTTTGGGAAAAACTCTCAGGATACTGCTCCTGTGAACAAGCAGAAGATGTTTGATTTTCCACCTCCTTGGCGATACAAGACTAGGAATTAGGTGCATGCTGGGGGTTGATCCTGTAGGTTGTAAGTGCCTGTTCAAAAAGGCATTTGCAGGTGTCACACAGGAAAAGAGCCAAGGAAAAACCATATCCCATATTAAGTCTATGGCAGTTGCTTTGTGGGTCAATATTCCACAACTCTAGTAGTATAAACTTCCTCACTACTTCCAGGTGCTCACCTGCATTGGACAGTCACAGTAGTGGTGTGGGGGTGTTGTGTGAAACTCATGGTTTTAGTCTTTTTAATGTTCATGGTCAAGAGATTTTGAGCCTGCAGGCCTCTCAAAGGTAAATACAGGGTATGACCTGCTGTAAAACCAATTGGAGTTTTAAAAATTAAAACCACGTCATTGTGTACCGCAGAAATGGCCTCATATCTTGACTTAGCCTAAGCTTGGCTCCAATGTAGCATGTATTTGCACCAGTACACATGCCAATAAAAGAAGCATTGAAATTCTAAAGATCTACTGCAAAAGGAAACTCCCCATCATGAAGGTCTAAGCAGAATCAACTTTTCCAGGATACTGGAAGTGAAGTTTGAATAAGGCTAAATTTAAATGATGTAAAAGAGTGGCAGATGAAGGAAGTTGCCATGTCACTCACCAACTGGGTTGTTCCCATGGTCAAGTTTATTGCTTTACACTCTGCCTTCTGATGCAGAAAGTTGACCATCATGAGATGAAGGTCATTATCAGCAAAGATCTAAGGGAGTATCTGATGTTTTTGAAATGCAATATACTGCATTATGGGTTCCTCTTAATGTGTCATTTATAAAGGAATTGGAGATAAAAGTTGAAGGTTGCAGGTGGAAAAACTAAGGTTCTAGAAACTGTTCACGTACTTATCAGAATGATAAGTATGTGGGGAAATTGGTTCTCAATTATTTATGGGTATTCATAGTACTTACATAGCTCCTACAATTGACCTCAAGTCTGAGTAAAATTAAAGCCATAGTGGCATGTATGCATGCCACTTAGGTCTGAATAGGATAATGTTCTTGTGCTGTTGCTTTTTATGGTGCAAGAATTGTCATTGTGTGCTATGAACTTCCTCTTTGATTTATTATTTTCCAGACCATTACCAGAAATAACATGGCAGAAGCGTGGAGGTCCATTACCTTATGGCAGATTCACCACAACAAATTATGGGAAGACACTCGTGTTCAAGTATGTAGACTATGAAGATGAAGGGACATATGAGTGCTTTGCTAGCAATGGTGTTGGTACAGCCCAGTCTTACTCTATTAGTCTTCATGTTGAAGGTCAGAAAAAGATATAGGCCTCTGTTTTTATTGAGGCATTTATTTTCAAATGTTCTTTGCTAACCCTTAACATGTCATGTTCGTCTTGTAGCCAAACCAGAATTCACTGTTGAGCCACAGACAGTGAATGCAGCAGAAGGTGAAACTGTGGAGTTTAGATGTGAATCTCATGGAGTGCCTTCACCAATCATTGACTGGTATCATAATGGAAAACCAATCAGTGAAGCCCCACAAAATCCTAGGAGACAGGTCATGCCAAACAAGGTCATCATTCGCAACCTAGAGAAAACAGATACTGGGAATTATGCATGCAATGCTTCCAATTCTATTGGATACGTGTTCAAGGATGCCTATGTGAATGTTTTGGGTATGTTTGAGCTGAAAGTATTTCCAGTGATGTCAATGAGGGTTTTGTCCAAATCATTGGAATAGAATATTTCCAGATTTCTATTTGAATGAGTCTGGATCTTTACTTTTCTGTTTATTTGCTTATTTGTTGATTACCAGCAATTTATACTCCAATAAGAAGTTTTCAACATAATGGAACTCTAGGTACAACTGCTAATAAGTGCTTAATAACTAGTTTCGTGATAGTATCTAAGTAGAGGGGCAGTCTTGCCTTGCTTAGGCATTCACATTGGTTTTTTGTGACTTTTATACCTGGCTGACCTATTTCTTCCACTGTCTAGTTTTTACAAGGGATTGTGGTTTTGATGTACAGTGTTTGGGAAACTACTCTATTTTGCATTCTGCATATAGAAATGTTGCTTTTTTATTTTTACAATTTATTTCTATAATAATGAGTACATCTGTAGACACCCAAAAATTGTAGAAAGGACATCAAAAGGCCAAATATAAATACACAACTTTAAGAAATTGGAGGGTAACCTACGAGGGATTTCTCAAAAGTTCTGCCATTCCATAATAATGAGTACATCTGTTGAAACCCAAAAATTGTAGAAAGGACATCAAAAGGCCAAATATAAATACACAACTTTAAGAAATTGGAGGGTAACCTACGAGGGATTTCTCAAAAGTTCTGCCAAAGTAGCCCCAAAGAAATAAAAAATCTAGTGTTTCATGATTAAATTCTGATCTTTATTGCCACAGGCAACTATTTCACACCTTTTCCACATACTCCCCACCGATTTCAATGCATTTTTTCATGCGATGGATCCAACGATCAAAGTACTGTTCAAAATCCTTCTTTTCAAGCCTTTTCAATTCCAGCACTTTGTGGCCGCCTCTGATGACGACTTGTGGGCTACTGGCAGAACTTTTGAGAAACCCCTCGTATATATATAGCATGGAAACTTGACTCCTACTTTCCCTGTGAGCCTTCAAAGCCTCAGAATTTGATTAAGTATTTTTCAAAATTCATGTAGTACCCAGAACAGTAAGTAATATTTGCTTCAACTTCAACGATGATACGTAATCGTCGAGCAACACTTTAACTATACCAAACCAATTCGATTCTGAGCCCATTTGTAAGGAAAGGAAAGCCTCCTTTACGGATGGGAGGAGCAGGGGTGAGCATTCCCTCTCAAGGAATTCATGTCGAGACAGGGAAAGAAGGAAGGAGAGTCAAGCCAGACAGTGAAGAGTCACTCTATCTTCCCCAGCATAAAAAAGAACCGCTTTATTCGGAAATGACTTTTCTCTCCAATGACTTGCCAATAGAATCGAAGCAATGCTAATATGCTCTGCGGCATAAATTCAACGGTATGTACTCTCTCAATTGCGTCAACCACAATTCTCTCAAGAATGTTTCTGCGATATTGTGCCAGAGACACACCGTGAGCAGCAACTCGTTTTCGATCTACAATGGAAGCTAACAGAGAACCCAGTTGTCTCTTGACCTCAGCTCTGAATCGAGAGAACGTGAATTCAATAGGGTTCAAATAGGGACTGTATGGTGGAAGGAATTCGATGACATGGGATGGGTATCGGGGGATTTAACCTTGGGTGAGCCATACAGCTGTCCATGATGACGACAGCTTCGTTCTCTGGTCCTATCATGGCACTCATTTCATCGAGATAGTGTCCAAAGATTCCTCAAGTGAGACCTCTCAGGCCTTAAGTGGGCGAAATCGCCGGAAAATGGTCAACGATCAATTCTGAATAAAGTTCGTTTTCTCCATGCGGTGGAAGGAGGACATTAGGTTCGCTGCTTTCTTCTCCCTCCCCTGTCTGAGCAAGAATTCCTTGAGGGGGAATGCTCACCCCTACTCATCCCATCCGTAGAGGAGGCTTTTCCTTCCTTATACATGGGCTCAGAATCAAGTTGGTTTGGTATGCTTTTGCTGCCTGTGTGTACCTTAATGTATGATTTGACTTCTTAATGAATATTTTCCTCGTCGCTTTCTCTTTCGAGACATGGATGTCATAATTTACTGTAAGACGTGTGTAATGCTTACGTCAGATCGAGGAGCATATTACGGACACACTCGATTTGGCACGAATTTGTTGGGGGTAACACGATGAGGCAAGAAATCAGAGATGTTTGTTGAATGTCTTCCGAAAATTTTGGGGGTCTGTTCCTTGGTCGAGTTTGGCGATGTATCATTGCGATGCATTTCAAGTCGGGTGTCTTCATTTCCGTCTTTCAGTGCTGGTGAAAACATCATATTAAGTTTAATAGAGGGCAAAGGCGCTGAATGTTAATCGGTATTGTCGCGGGTGCCGTTTGTCCCACTTTCTTCAGCGAAGAAGGTGCAGTTATTTTGGCATGGCCATGTCTCAACTGATTGCGGTGTTCGCGATGAGATTCCATTTTTCGCAGGCAGAAGTCCTCGTAGATTATTATTGTTTTGTTCTGACTATGTCTGCCTCTATATAAGGTCCCTTTTTTTGTTTTTCCAAAAAAAAACTGAAGGATGAAAGTTGGCATTGGTACTAAAATTGAGTTTCGGCAAAGAAGCGATTCGTTGTAAAATTGTCTGAGGCCGTTCCGCAATGAAATTGCAATTGAAGTGATAATAATGTATGTGTCTCTCGGCATATACGCTGCTGGATGTTGGATCGCTGTTTCCCTGGCACTTTCACGCCTTTTCTCTACTCTAATGCCATTGCAAATTCCATGTAGAAGGAAACGTGATGAGGTCTCCTTGCCTTCCTCGAAATAATTTTTTTTACTATTGTGCTCCTCCTCTCACGTTCCCCCTACCTAACCGACCTCTTCTTCCCTTTTTTCATTTTCTTTCCTTAAGGAAAAGAAACGTTCTTGTGCCGCTGGGCTTACATTTTTTTTGTTTCCTTTTAAATGGGATATAGGCCTACTCCAGAAAGAAAGAATGAAATGAAGCCACTCAGACGGTGAAGGTCACCTTTGCGTCTTCCCCTTCCTAGGCCTATCCACATTCCTCCTACCTCCACTCCGGAAATGCATAGCGCTCGTCCTCCCATCATCATGTGATAGTCGGCGAGGCGATCGAGCTTTTCTGCGCCTGTTCGCAATGCCGTGCGAATTGCTTCTTCGACGGCACGCCAGCTCTGCCTTCCAGGTGGGTTCCCGATTTCATACGACGTTGCGAAACCTCTAAATCGTTGGCAAAAAAATACGCTATCTTTCGTTTCTAGTAGACAGAGGGGAAGAGACGTCCAAGGAGAAAGTGGCCTGTAGATGGACTTCCCAAACCTGAATGGGCTTCGGCAGTAGCAGCAATGACCATCGGGTGAGGAGGAAACTCCGTCTGTGGGTCGCGGACGGATTCCCAATTGTGTCCTGCGAGGCCATCTTGGGACGACGGAATGGTCGCCGTGAGTCTGTTCTCCAGTGCGAATTTCAGGAATTTCGAGCCTTGAGGCCTGCACTGTGGTTTTGCCGGTATTTGCGTGACTGTTGGCGGAATATTCATAAATGAGAGTCTGATGAGGTATGAAGCCGGAAAGCGCTGTCCAGGAGTACTTAAACGTATTTACACCGTATTTACAAGCCTTATGAAAACTTGTAAAAGAAAAAGTACTTCTGATTCTTAATAGAATGACCAGTAATATTTCTCTAATCTACCTGTTTTTTTCGGGTTGGGGAGGGAGGGGGAGAAATGAAGACTTCCCACACACTGGAGGGCATTGCCCACATTTCGTTTCTCAAGGAAGCCATGCACGTGATAACCCCCTTTCCCCCCAACCGCCACCCCCCCCCCCCCTTTTGAAACTTTTCAAGGAAACCTTTTTTTTGGTTTTGCAATTTGAAGTACGAAGTTTCTGTTCGACCAGAGTCGGGGTTGGCACTACGTCTATGTACATCCCGACCTCAAGGGTTTGAAATATTCTATGGTGCAGCAAGCTCAATCAAACCGGAAACGGACTTGACCGAGGCGACGTGGAACCTGCGACATGGTTTGTCTCGATTTAACCCAATTTAGGCTCGGTCGAGCAATTTCAATCCTGTGTTCCGGTCGTTTCAGCGAAAAGATTTTTTTTTTTTACCAAATGGTATTAACTTGGTGAGGATTGGACTCGATATTTTAATCGATCGATTAAGGCAATTTCGTCGATTAATTGTGCGAGCATATTTATCTATCGACTCAAACTTCTCCCAAACTGCTATGGGATTGCATTTGTTTGTTTCGTAAAAGTGAAAATGGAATCTGCAGGTGCCATAAGGAATTTTCGCACTCCCTGGGCCGTGCCGTCCTTTCCCGGGAAAGGGTTATTTGCGTTCTTAGATAATGCCTACTGGTTTATGACCCCACTGTTACTTTCGGTTTTCCCCTTTCCCTGGCCTAATTTCTGCGCACATAGTGCAAAATAACAAATGCTTGTCAAAATTGTCATAAAAATACTATCGAGCGAATGCAATCTTCATTTCTGTCTTCCCCCTATTTGATGCTTCCCTGCTCCAGTCCGATCCCACCTGCCACTATCTGCTTCTGTCGTTATTCATCTCGTCCCCCGTCTTTCCACGTTCGATCCTGCTACTCGTGTCGACGCGATGTAATCATTGTAATCCGAAGTCGCAAAGAAAGTAGTGTATGTCTTGGAGACAGGTGCATTTGGTTCCAAGTTCGCTCTCAACCCATTCGCAGCATCTCGATAACAATAAACGTTTGTCCTCGTCTGTCCGCCGAAGGCCTGCGCGGGCCGACTTTCCCGAACTCGACCGGATCGGCCCGATTCGAGTTCTACTCCCGCGACCCGAACCGCGGATCGAGTCGGGCCGATCGGGCCGACCCGCTTAATCCTCTAATCGTCGGAACTCGAGTTCCCCGCTTGCGTTTCTTCCGTTTCTTCTTGCGAAGTGGCACTGCTTGCTCTGCCGGCGCTTCCAGCTTCCCGTGACGCCACGTTCGCGGTGGCTTGTTCAGGGCCTTCGCAGATGAATGCGTTCCGATGACTGTTGGCTCAAAAGTGACGTCGACAAAAAAAAATTCAACCTGATGATATTGATCTGATTTCGATTTTTTCTTCTTCAAATATTTCCCCACTTCCTCGGGTATGGAGGGGGGGGGGGGGAAGTATTAGGACTTAACACTCCCTGGAGATATTGGTCACATTTTGGCCCTACTTTCTCAAGGGAGCCATGCACGATATAATCTCCCCCCCCCCCCCCTCCCGGGCCCTCCACCTTCATCCCCCTGCCATAAAAATGAATTTATTATAATATGCTGAACCTGTGGGATTCCTTCCCTCTCCTAAAAGTTTACATTTAAGGGATATTACAAAGCTGGGCGAGTTACGTCCATCAAATCTGGAAGGATTTCGAGTTCTTTCTTGCCCAGCAAGTTGTAAAAAATATATATAAAAAATTGACGTCAGAAATTGGAAGAGAAGCACTCTCGAAGCATTCCGGCCTTGGAATGGAACTGCTACGCAATGGGCGGGGCGGGGCGGGGCGGGGCGGGGACATAACCTGTATCGATTTAACCCGGTTTAGGTTCGGTCGAGCGAGATGAGTTTCAATCCGGCGTCTTCGTTCTGGCTCGGTTGATCGTCCTTGGACTCCAGCATTATCGAGTAGTTTGGAGTAGTTAAAAGCTCTGGATTCGTGAAGTTGCTGGTTGAGTTGTCAATATTATCTCATTCCCCGGCATGGATCAACTTTAGCTTGGGAGAGTGAAATTTTAATCGATTGTACGAGAGTCAGTCAAATGAAATACATTACTTTCTCCTTCAAAGCTTCTGAACCGAGTTCTTTCACGGGCCTTTTTCTTTCGATCCCAATTTTATTTCTTGACATCATTTAAAAAATGCTCGTGTCAGAATTACTTTGTAGTCTGCGTGTGAGTGCAAAAGTTTCGATCTGGAATTAAAATCGTGTTAGATGCTCCGCATCCGGAGCGCTTCGTCTCGACGACGGACCGTCGAAGGACTCGGGTTCGTGGGAGATCCACCTCGAAAGCGGGACTCGCCCCCGAGCGATTTTCGGCGGTTTCGAAGCGGTGGGAAGTTGAGGTCTGAGGGCGAGGGGTGGGTGGTGGGGCAATTTTGGATGGAGGCGCGATCCGCATCCCTCTTTCGCTTTTGGGGTCAGAGCAGTCGGGAGACGTCCGCTAAAGATGCGTCGAGAAGCGGGTCGCCGGCCCAAGCTGAAGGTTATGCGGTTACTTCACTCAACGTCCTGTTTTTATATGACTGACTCTCGTGTGTTCGTCGATGCAATGCCTTCTCGGAATGCGGTGAGGGATGGCGTAGTAGTTTGGTAAAAAGCGGAAATGGAATCGGAGGATGTCGGGCGCTTCCCGCTGTCCCCGGGGCAGTGCCCGACGGTTCCGGGAAAGGGTTATTTGCGTTCTTAGATAGTGCCCACTGGTTTATGACCCCTCGGTTCGTATCGCTTCCTCCCTTTCCCCGGCCTCATTTCTGCACTCGGGTGCAAAATAACAAAGGCATTGCAAAATCGTAAGAAGGTGACACTTTCGTACGATTGAACGAATACAATCTCCATTTCTTGTATTTTAATTTGTCTTGGTGCTTCCTTGCTACAGTCTCATCCCAACTGCTACAATCTGCTACAACCTGCTACAATCTGCTACTGTCGCTATTCATCGTGTGCCCCGTTTCTCCGGGAATCTATCTCTATCATGTTGCTCCAATCGATGCTTTGTAACCGCTACGTTACGTGATCGCTAGTTGCACTGAAAGATATGTATGTTTTGGAGATAGGTGTATTTATAAATAGATCCAGTTTCGTTCTCACCCTTTCCCAGCATCAGCATGATAAACTATGCCAAGAGAAAACTTGTCGCTCTCCCGAGCTCCAGTGATTTTGCCTCCTCGTTCCTCGTCCATGGCTCGAAATTCCTTGCACCGATCACGACGATTTCCTCACGGTTCGAAGCTCTTTTAAGACGGAAGGGTTCGCCCCGTCCGCTACCGCTCCACCGCTTGGCTTCTTGTTTTTTTTTTTTGGAATGGTGTAAATTTACACTGTAAATAGACGATGTTTGTCCTCCTTCTGTCTGTCCGCCAGAGGCCTGCACGGGTCGAAATTTCCTCATTCGGCCCAGTTCGGTCCGATTCGAATCGTGGTCCCATCCGACCCGAAACTCGATCGCCGAACTGAGCTTTCTCGGACCCGGCCCGCTGATCGTGTCGGGCGGAACCGCGGCCCGCTGAGGTCTCTAAGCGGGAGGACTCGGTCTTCCGTAGCTATTCGCCCTAATGGCACGATTCACTGCATTGAATAAGCAGAAAATTTGTCTACAGGCTATTTGGGGTTCCCCGATGATGGAACGCATTCCTTATTATCGATCCAAAGTCGGTTGGATTTAGTTTCCAACTTCATGAGCCTGTAAGGCCTCCTTTCCCTTTCCTGTAATTTCTTACTTTTCTTGGTTCCAAGTACTGAGGAACGTCCTGTTTCTTCCCTCTTTTTCCTGCAGAAGAGTGTTGTGTCACCGATCCTGGATCCCGCGGGATCGTTCTCGATCTCTGATGCTCAGATCTGGCAATAGACCCTTCCACCCGCGATGAACCAGGCGCCAGCTTCGGCATGCCTTCTCCGCCTGTCGAAGCCGGTCGCCGCCAGGTCCCATCTGCCGTGGCCCGGCGAGATGCAGGTAGAACGAACTGGGCCGAGAGGAAGTTTCCGAATTGAGACCAGTGGGCTGCTATCAGACCGTGAGGCGATCGTTTGTCCCGACCCGATACTCTTCCAAATGCCAAACTGGAATGCGGACACTATTTGACTTTCTTATAGCTTGGGCTTGACACAGGACGTCTATGTACATTTTACTCTGAGGTAGATGCCTAGAATTTAATTCCCTGTACATACAATATCAACAAACGGGGCTCACTAGCGAAATCTAGCGGCGGAGGCTCCAAGTACAGGCCAGGGGTCACGTGCTTTCACTCTCTTACCGTGACAATAGCTCGTCTCTGGGGATCTTCCCACATAGGAAAACCCGTTCGAGAGTCTCTTCTATTGTTTTATTTATATATTCTTTTTTACCGCTAATTGTGTTGTTTGTTTTTCTTTATTTTTCCCAGCCAATATTCCACACACCCTTGATAGCCTTCTGATCTACTTCCTTGGGGTCCAGTTCCTCTTCTTGCCCCACTTCGATAAGGACAGGCCTCTTTCTTCCAGGATTGAAGTGTTTCAGCAACCAGTATCTCGTCTCGTTGCAATCCCGCAGCGAAGAAATCTCTCTGGCGAAAGTGGCCTCGCGACCTTCGACTTCTTTTCTTGGATTCCACGGGGGATGAGATCCAAATCCTCGCCTCAGATTCCA